GCCGAAAGCTCGGAATTCTACAGTGGCTTTCTCCCTCTGGGACCCCTCTCGGGCACGCCTTGGGGCTCTCTTAGGCCATTTTGGAGTCCAATTTTGCCGTCCTGGGCGCCTCGTGAACCGTCTTGGAACTCTCTTGGGGGCCACCTAGGCCGTCTTGGGAGCCTCTTCGGACGTGTTGGACGCGGTGAAAACCCAACAGGCGACCATGCGAAAAGTATACGTTTTCCCATAGGAATGGGACCATTTTTGCTTCTTGGACCTCTCTTGGGGTGCCTCTCGGAACGTCTTGGGCTGATTTTGGAAGCCTTTTGGCGCCTCTGGGCGGCGTTTTGGCGCCTCCTGGGATGTGTTGGGCCGGAAGCTCGGAATTCGAGAGTGGCTTTCTCCTTCTGGGACCCCTCTCGAAGTCGTCTTGGGGTTCTCTTGGGCCGTCTTGGGGCCGTCCTGAGCCACTCGTGCGCAGCCTTGGAGCGCTCCCGGAGGCCTCCTAGGCCGTCTTGGAGGCCTCTTGGGCCGTCTTGGACGCGGTGAAAGCCCAAGATGCGAACATGCGAAAAATATACGTTTTCCCATCGGAATGGCACGATTTTTGTTTCTTGGACCTCTCTTGGGGTGCCTCTCGGAACGTCTTGGGGTGCTTTTGGGAGCCTTTTGGCGCCTCTTGGCGGCATTTTGGCGCCTCCTGGAGCCTCTTGGGCCGGAAGCTCGGAATTCGAGGTTGGCTTTCTCCGTCTGGGACCCCTCTCGAACTCGTCTTGGGGCTCTCTTGGCCGTCTTGGGGCCGTCCTGGGCCACTCGTGCGCAGCCTTGGAGCGCTCCCGGAGGCCTCGTAGACCGTCTTGGGCGCCTCTTGGGCCGTCTTGGACGCGGTGAAAGCCCAAGAGGCGAACATGCGAAAAATATACGTTTTCCCATAGGGAATGGCACGATTTTTGCTTATTGGGCCTCTCTTGGGCTGCCTCTCGGAGCGTCTTGGAGGCTTCTGGGACCTTCTTGGTGTCATGACAGGCGTCTTGGAAGGCATCTGGAGCCATCGGAGCGCGTTCCGAAGCCGCCTGCGAACGATCTTGGACGGCGTCCGGCGGTCCGACGAGCCTCCGGGCCCCCCGGGGCCCACATTTGCGGTCGGGGTCCCGGCCCCGGGCCCCCGGACCCGGTGCGCCGTTATATGTATACGCTGGTGCTGCGCTCGCGCTTAGGGTCTAGCAGATTACGGAGTCATTGTCAGTAGATCTCGCGCTAATCCACGAACCCTAGGATACCCAGAGAGAGGTTCCCCAAGCAAAGGCCGCCCTTGGCACGTTGAGGTGCTGGGCCTTCTGCGGGATAGCTCAAGGTTCGGTGGATGGTCGCGGAGCCGTGCGAGATCGACGCGCGACGCGTCAAAAGGCTCCGAATTGTCCCAGACTGCGCAGGTGCCGCGACTGCCACTATAGCCGAGGAGGGTCCCAGAGGCACCTGGCCGCCACGCCGTCGCCGCCGCCGCCGCCGCCGCCCCCGCGGGCGCCGCCGCCGCCGCCGCCGCCGTCGAGATGATCGTCGCGGTGGCGGTCGTAGTGGTAGCGGTGCTGGTGGCGGAGGTCGTCTGAGGACGTGATCGGACGATTGCACGTTCTGGGGCGTGTTTTGCTTCTCTGGGGCCTCGGGGGGTCTCCGGACTCTGGAGATCTGTTGGGGCCTCCAGGGCCTCCAGAAGCCTCATGGGACTCTCCTGAAACTCCAACAGGCCCCCAAGAGAGCTCCAGGGGACAGCCCGGCAGGGCCCAAAGGGGTGCCAAGGGAGCTCCCAAAGCGGCCACAGAGCCCCAACAATCCCACCAGCCCTTTGGGCGTGAGTGGTTTAGAGAGCCCGCTCTGTTCTCAACCCTCCTTCTTCCCCTTCGGGGAGGGGTTTACCCCTCCCCCTACCCCCTCCCCCTGGGCCTGGAGAGGGCGTTCCGCGGGTCGTTGGAGGGGTCTTTTTCGACTCCTGGGAGGGCTAAAAAACGACACCCCTCACGAGGATTCTGGCCCCGACGGGGGGGCCCAGAAAAAACCCTCTCCTCTTCTTTGAAAGCCAAAATCATTGATTTTACTACGGTTTTGGCCCCATTTTGCCCTTCTGAGGGGCAGCGCTCATTAAAGCTCCCCTCTTCTTTCAAGGCAAAATCATTGATTTTACGAAGGTTTTGGCCTCATTTTGCCCTTCTGAGGGGGCAGCGCTCATTAAAGCTCCCCTCTTCTTTGATCGATTTCCTCCAAGATGGCCCCAAGAAGCGCCCAGGAGGCACCAAGAGGCCCCAAGATGGCCCCAAGAGGCCCCCAGGAGGCCCCCAAGAGGCCTCCAAGAGGCCCCCAAGATGCCCCCAAGAGGCCCCGAAGAGGCCCCAAGAGGCACTCCCCCGAGGCACCCAAGACGTTCCTGGAAGCCCCTGGGGCCGCCAAGAGGCCCCCAAGACGCCCCAAACGGCCTCCAAGAGGCTCCCAAGAGGCCCGAAGAGGCTCCCCCAAGGCACCCAAGACGCTCCTAGAAACCCCTGGGGCCGCCAAGAGGCCCCAAGACGCCCCAAAAGGGGACGAGGTACCCGAAACGCCTCACGCCACGAGGAGCCCGAACGACTCACACCAGGGACGAGAGGGCCCGAACGTCACACCACGAAGAGCCGAACGACTCACACACAAGGAGGGGCCCGAACGACTCACACCAGGACGAGGGGCCCGAACGACGCACACCACGAGGAGCCCGAACGATTACACTCAAGGAGGGACCCGAACGAATCACACCAGGACGAGGAACCCGAACGACTCACACTTCGAGGAACCCGAAAGATTCACACACAAGGAGGGGCCCGAACGACGCACACCAGGACGAGGGACCCGAACGACTCACACCACGAGGAGCCCGAACGACTCACACACAAGGAAGAGCCCGAACGACTCACACCAGGACGAGCCCGAACGACTACACCAGGAAAGGGCCCACAGAACGACTCACAACAAGGACGAGAAACCCCAAAAGAGCTAAACCACGAGGAGCGCTTTCTCTCCCTCCTCCTCGCCTCGTACTTCTCCCGTCCCACCACAATGGAGGGTGTACAAGGAGCGGGCAGGAAAGGGGGAACAGGGAGATATGCGGGGGGCGGGGGAAGGCGTGACAACACGCCTGAAAAACACGACTGTCCCGCTGCTTCTGCAAGAGTTGCTGTTTTGAATTGGGCTGGTGGGGGTGGGGATACGCGAAGCGTAAAGAATAACTGACATCGCCGTCCTTGGCAAGGAAGCGCTTTGTATTGCATTTGTATTAGCGGGGCCCTCTGGTTCCGTCTCGGCGCTCTCTTGGGGCGGTCTTGGGCGCGTCTAGGGCCGTCTTGGGGTTCTCTTGGGCCGTCTTGGGGCCCTCTGGGGGACCTCTTGGGCCGTCTCGGAGCGGTCTTGGGGGCCTCTGGAGACGTCGTGGAGCGCTGGAAGCTCGAAAAATCGAGACCTTCGAAAACAGATAAAAACCGATGTGACATCATTGATGCTTGCCTCTTGCGGCCATCTGGGGCGCGCTCATCGGCCCCCTCAAGGGCCGTCTTGGGGCATCTTAGGACGGAAAGCTCGAATTATCGGCTTATCGGTTCGAGCTCCTGCGCTCGGGCCCCTTTGGGATCGTCTTGGAGCATCTTGGGCGCCTCTAGGGCCGCTTGGGGTCCCCGTGGGCCGTCTTCGGGCACGTTTGGGGGCCTCTTGGCCCGTCTCGGGGCGGTCTTGGGAGCTTGGGACGTCGTGGAACGCCGGAAGCTGGATGGGTCGAAACCCCGAACACGTTGAGAAACCTATGGCCAATCAGTAGTGTTGGTCTCTGGGGGGCCTCTGGGGAGTGCTCGTCGAATCCTATTGGGCCGTCTGGGGGCATCTTGGGACGGAAGGCTAGAATTGTCCTCTCCTGCTTGGGCCCCACTTGAGGCCATCTTGAGGCCCTCTTAGGCAGTATTGGGCCACTCTTGGGCCATCTTGGGGCCGTCTTGTCCCGTCTTTCTTACTCTTCGCCGTCGCCCTCGCGGTCGGAGCGAAACTCTACTGTATTAGTCGCGCCTGCAACGCTGAATCTCCGAGCGCTCAGCTTGAGCACTAGCCTGAAAAGCGACGGAGCAGTCCGCTTCAAGAACTCAAGACCCCAAGGTTGAGCTGTACAAGCTACGGAATGATTTCCTGCAGAGTGAGGTGGAGCAGGAGGCAGCAGGTAAGCAAGAAATCGATGAGGAGCAGGAGGAGGATACTGAAGACCCGGTGGTTGCCGCCACTGGGCGCGGCTTGAAACAGTTGTTGCCAACAACATAATGGTGAGACATGGTGCCAGAACCACAGAAAATTCCCCGAGGCTCGGCCCTAACTGGACGTGGCGATAATGCCCGCCCTGCCGCCCGAAAAATTAGCCTGGCGAAAGACCCAACATAAAGCAATGTTGACGAACCGCAATTTGTGGGCATCATCTTCGGTGGGGAGCCCCCTATGGGGCCACCAACCGTGTGAGCGGTGTGCCGAAATGAGGCGTCGGGCGCATGCGGCCTGTGCCACTGAAACCTTCGGTGGAACTCCCTATGGGGCCACGAACCGTGTGAGGTGCGCGCCAAAAAGAGGCGGCGGGCACATGTCGCCTGTGCCACTGGGGCCTTCGGTGGAACTCCCTATGGGGCCACGAACCGTGGGAGGGGTGTGCCAAAAATGGGGCGGGGGCCGCCTATGCGGACCCTGCCAGCTGGGCCCTTCGGTGGAGGCTCCCTATGGGGCCACGAACCGTGTGAGAGGGGGCGCCAAATGCGGCGGCAGCCATGTCGGATCACCTGCCACTGGGGCCTTCGGTGGAGCTCCCTATGGGGCCACGAACCGTGTGAGGGGTGCGCCAAAATGCGGGGCCGCCATGCGGACCCTGCCACTGGGGCCTTCGGTGGAGCTCCCTATGGGGCCACTAACCGTGTGAGGGGTGCGCCCCAATGCGGGGCCGCCATGCGGACCCTGCCACTGGGGCCTTCGGTGGAGCAGAGGCAAGGGGGAGGAGGAGGGGGAGGGGGCAGCGGGAGGAAGGAGGAGGAACGCGGGGCACCGTCTCTTCAAAACGAGGACCCAACACCACAGGATGGTTGGGAAAAAATGTGGGCGCTGCAGCGCTTCCAAAGAAACCTAGACGGAGCAGGAGGAGGATGAAGATTGAGGGTTCGCCACCACTGGGCACGGCATTAAAAGAAACTGTTGCCATGAAGATCGGGGATTGGCCACCACTGGGCGAGGAATGAACAAATTGTTGCCAACACCATCGTGGTAAGACATGGCGCAAGAAACGCAGGACAGACTCTGAGAGTCGGCCCTACTTGGACGTACGCCGAGACTGTACAGGAGCACGTGCTTAAACTTTTCCGCCCACATTGCGCCTGACGCTGTGGACGAAGCTGCGTATCACGCAATATATACGGCGCGGCTGACAGCCCGTGGCCACGTGGCGTGCCCTGCGCCGTTTCCATGCTATTCCCCTGGGCTGGCGTGAACCATGCCAAGTAGTGCAGTGACTAGCAAAATCTTTGGAACATCCAGAATCACGACAAAAAAGTCCAGGGATAAAAATTCGTGCCGTGCGTCTGGCGCGCGAGGCAGGAGGCGTCCACGTTGATCCATCTGATACGAGGTGCAGGGCTCGCCCTGGACTGAGGGAAGCTCCCCTGACCGCTCCCCCCAAATGGACGCGGCCAGGCGGGCGCTGACGGCACGCGCCACTAGCTGGCGGCTCTCCTGGCCAGGCGGCACGATCATACAGAGGAAAACGTCAGTGTGGTTTGGTTATACTGCCTTCCCCCCCCCGGGCTCACCGCCGACTTTTGCTCGAGATCAGCCGCGCGAGCTCGGAGCGGCCCCGAGCGCCGCCGAGGGCGACCCCGGCGGCGCGGGGGGCCCGCGCGCCTCGCGGCGCAACGCCCTCGAGATGGCGCCCGCCCGGCTCCCGGGGCTGCCGATCGCGCCGTCGCCCTCGGCGCGCCCCGCCGCCGGCGCCGCGGGCGCCGCGGGCCCGAAGCGGTGCCCTTCGCGGCTGCCGGCCAGGCCGCTCCCACCTTCGTCGAGGCACGGGCGACGCGCCCTCACGCCCAGCTCCCAAGGCGAACGTGCGGGCCACCTGGCGGCGACGGCGGCCTTCTGCTCCCAGTACGCCTCGGACCTGAGGCGCCTGGGGGGGCTGGGGCGCGGGCGGGCGGGGGACGTCACCTCGAGGAGCGCCAGCTCGCCGCCGTTCTCCGGCAGCGCGGTGGCGCCCCAGCTCCAGCTCTCCTCGTGCGCGTTGGCGTCCTGGCCGCCGTCGCCGACGGAGAAGGCGAGCAGCTCTTCCGTTGGGCATCGCGTGAGGGCCAAGCTGATCCCGTCCGGCTCAGGGCGCGCCACCTTCCCCTTCCCCTGCTCGGCGAGAGCCGCCTCACCATCCTGAAGCATGGCGCGGAGTCTGGCGATGGGGGGCTGTCCAGCCCGGAACCAGACAGGATACCAACTTGGAGACCTCCACTGGGTCAATGGCTTGAACCAAGATGTCTACGGAGGCCCTCTTGGCCTGTCTTTGGGCCCACTTGGTGGCCTCTTGGGCCGTCTTGGAGCAGTCTTGGGGGCCTCTTGAGACGTCGTGGAGCGTCGGGAGCTCGAAAGTCGAGAAACCCGAATCCATGGGAAAACCATTGGTAATCAATGGTTTTTGCCTCTGGGGGCCCTCTGGGGAACGCGCGTCGAATTCTCTTGGGCCGTCTTGAAGCTAACCGGGGCCGTCCAGAAGCCACGCGGGACATCTTTGACGCCACTTCTTAAGGGCGTCTGGGCAGCTCTCGGGTCGCTGCTGGGGAGGGGGGGAGCCAGGAACCCCCATGGCGCCCAGAGGCAGCTGGGATAAGGCCCCGGACCCTGTACACAGATACAGATATACATAGATATAGGCATCTGCATGCACACGTGTATGTATATACACCTATAGGCGTGCATGTATGTATGAATGCATGCATGAATGCATGCATGCATGTGTGAATACATGTATGTATGTATGTGATTATGTATGCATGTATGTAAACATGCATACATGCATGTATGCACGCACGTGCAAACGTACGTACGTATGTATGTATGTTTGCATGCATGGATGGATGTATGTGTGTATGTATACCCGTGGGTATACGTGTATATATAAACTATGTATATGAGGATGCGTGTATGCATGTATAAGTGTACGCATGCATGCATGTGTGTACGTGTGCATGCATGTATGAATGCAGGTATGTGAGGATGCAAGTGTGTGTGTGTGTGTTTGCATGTTTGCATGCATTCATATGTGTATGCATGTTTTCATGTATGCATGCATGTCTGTATGTATGTATACCTCATGCATGTATGTATGTGTGTATGCATGCGTGCATGTACATACAACTATAAGTAGCACTATGTGCACATATACTTATGTGTGCTAGAACCATCGCGCGCGCTTCGCGCGCGCTCAAGTCCCACCAGCCCTCTGGGCGTCGGTGGTTTAGGGAGTTTCCTCTTCCACCCCTCCTTCCCCTTCGGGGAGTGGTTTACCCCTCCCACTACCCCCTCCCCTGGACCTCGACGGGGGGATTCACGAGGTGTCGGAGCGTCCAAAACAGCCTCGGCGAGGAAGCCAACATCATTGGTTTTACTAGGGTGCTGGCCACATGTTGGCCTCCTGAGGGGGGAACTGTAATTAGTACCCCCCCCTCCTGTGATCGATCTCACCCAAGATGGCCCAAAGATGGCCCCCAAGGGTGGCCCAAGAGGGCCCCAAGAGGTGGCCAGGAAGCCCCAAGAGGCCCCCAGGATGCCCCCAAGAGGCTCCCAAGAGACCCCCAAGAGGCCCCAAGAGACCCCCCAGAGGCACCCAAGATGCTCCAAGAGGCCTCGGCGAGAACGCCAAATCATTGATTGCACTAAGGTTTTAGCCACATGTTGGCCTCTTGGGGGGGGACACTGATTAAGATGACTCCACGAGCCCCTGTGAGAGCCCAAGATGACCTCCAAGATGGCTCAAGATATCCCAAGATGTCTCATAATGGCTCCCACGATGCTCCCAAACGCCCCAAGACCGCTCCGAGACGGCTCACAGTGGCCAAAGGGCTCCCCCAGCAGGCCCCGAAGAGGCCAAAACCTTAGGAAATTCTATGTGTTTGGCTGTCTCGCCTTTTCGCTTCCGATGGCCATCCGAGGCCTCAAGATCGAAGGGGCCCTGGGACACACAAATAAATAGACACAAATAACTGGATTCCCTGTATTTCACTTTATTTTCTAAATTTATGTCGTCCCCCCCACTTCCCATATTTTCATATTTTCTGGGAATCGACGATTAATTGTGTCTGTGTGTTTGTTCCCCTCCTGAAAGATGGCTCCAAGATGGCCGTCTTGGGCCTATCTTGGGGGTCTCTTGGGCTGTCTTGGAGCGGTCTGGGGATCCTCTGGGCCGGTCTAGGAGCGTCGGTAAGCCGAAACAGCGAGGAAGCAACAAACATGGAAAAACACATGGAAATCAACTATTTTCGCCTCTCTGGCCGCTCGTCGGCGGCATCTTCACGCCTCTTGGGGCGTCTTGGGGACGTCCTCGGCAGCTTCAGACGCATCGTGGGCCCCTGGAGACACCTGCAGGCGGTCTTGGGAGCGTCTCGAGAATGTCTGGGGCCGCCGGGACGGCTGTCCGAGGGCTCCTGCGGCCTTCTACGGGCCCTCTTCGGCCGTCTTGGGCGGGTCTGGGGGCAGTCTTGGGGCTCTCTTGGGCCGTCTAGGAGCTCTGTTGGAGGCTCCTGGGCCGTCTTGGAGCGGTCTAGGGAGCCTCTGCGGCGGTCTTGGAGCGTCGGGAAATCAACACAGCGAGGAAGCAAACACATTGAAAATACTCATGAAAATCAACGATTTTCGCCTCTCTGGCCGCTCGTCGGCGGCATCTTCACGCCTCTTGGGGCGTCTTGGGGGACGTCCTCGGCAGCTTAAGACGCATCGCGGGCCGCTGGAGACACCTGGAGGCGGTCTTCGGAGCGTCTCGAAACCGTCTGGGGCCGCCGGGACGGCTGTCCGAGGGCTCCTGGAGCCTTCTTGGGCTCTCTTGGGCCGTCTTGGGCGAGTCTGGGGGCAATCTTGGGGCTCTCTTGGGGCTCTCTTGGGAGCTTCTGGGGCCGTCTTCGAGCGGTCTCGGGAGCCTCTTGGGCGGTCTTGGAGCGTCGGAAAGCCGAAACAGGGAGAATGCCAAAAACATAGAAAAACTAATGAAAATCAGCGATTTGGGCCTCTCCGGCCGCTCAAGGGCGGCATCTTGAAGCGTCTTGGGACGTCGTGGGGGGGGCTTCCTGGGTAGTTTAAAACGTATCGTGGGCGGATGGAGACGCCTGGAGGCGGTCTGGGGAACGTCTCGAGACCGTCCAGGGCTGCCGGGACGGCTGTCTGAGGGCTCCCGACGGCGATTTCAGCCCTCTCAGAGGCGGCCCGGGCCCCCGGCTCCACATGTGTGGCCGAGGTTCGGGCCCCCGGGAGCGTCCTGGAGCCCCGTGGCCCCCATGGGTGTCCGAGGCACCAATCTGGCGGCCCCAGGTCCCGTTCCCCGGTATATATATATATATATATATATATATATATATATATGCATGCATCTGCAAATGCAAATGCAAATGCATCTGAGCGTGTCCGTCCTAATCCAGGGGTCCCATGAGGCTTGCAGGGTGCTTTTTGGAAGCTGTTATGACCCCCCTTGAGGACTGTTTTGGCGTCTCTTGAGGCCTTGTTGGGGCCTCTTGGGGAGCTGGGGCCTCTCGGGGGCCTCTGTGGGATGCATTGGTGCCTCTCGGGGACCGTTCTGGGGCCCCCTTGGGCCGTCTTGGGGCGTCCTGGGTCTCTCGTGGGGGCTTCTTGGAGCTCTCTTGGCGCCTCCTGGAGCCTCTTGAGGCCGAAAGCTTGGAATTCTACAGTGGCTTTCTCCCTCTGGGACCCCTCTCGGGCACGCCTTGGGGCTCTCTTAGGCCATTTTGGAGTCCAATTTTGCCGTCCTGGGCGCCTCGTGAACCGTCTTGGAACTCTCTTGGGGGCCACCTAGGCCGTCTTGGGAGCCTCTTCGGACGTGTTGGACGCGGTGAAAACCCAACAGGCGACCATGCGATAAGTATACGTTTCCCCATAGGAAAGGGACCATTTTTGCTTCTTGGACCTCTCTTGGGGTGCCTCTCGGAACGTCTTGGGCTGAGTTTGGAAGCCTTTTGGCGCCTCTGGGCGGCGTTTTGGCGCCTCCTGGGATGTGTTGGGCTGGAAGCTCGGAATTCGAGAGTGGCTTTCTCCTTCTGGGACCCCTCTCGAAGTCGTCTTGGGGTTCTCTTGGGCCGTCTTGGGGCCGTCCTGAGCCACTCGTGCGCTGCCTTGGAGCGCTCCCGGAGGCCTCCTAGGCCGTCTTGGAGGCCTCTTGGGCCGTCTTGGACGCGGTGAAAGCCCAAAGTGCGAACATGCGAAAAATATACGTTTTCCCATAGGAATGGCACGATTTTTGTTTCTTGGACCTCTCTTGGGGTGCCTCTCGGAACGTCTTGGGGTGCTTTTGGGAGCCTTTTGGCGCCTCTTGGCGGCATTTTGGCGCCTCCTGGAGCCTCTTGGGCCCGAAGCTCGGAATTCGAGGTTGGCTTTCTCCGTCTGGGACCCCTCTCGAACTCGTCTTGGGGCTCTCTTCGGCCGTCTTGGGGCCGTCCTGGGCCACTCGTGCGCAGCCTTGGAGCGCTCCCGGAGGCCTCGTAGACCGTCTTGGGCGCCTCTTGGGCCGTCTTGGACGCGGTGAAAGCCCAAGAGGCGAACATGCGAAAAATATACGTTTCCCATAGGAATGGCACGATTTTTGCTTCTTGGGCCTCTCTTGGGCTGCCTCTCGGAGCGTCTTGGAGGCTTCTGGGACCTTCTTGGTGTCATGACAGGCGTCTTGGAAGGCATCTGGAGCCATCGGAGCGCGTTCCGACGCCGCCTGCGAACGATCTTGGACGGCGTCCGGCGGTCCGACGAGCCTCCGGGCCCCCCGGGGCCCACATTTGCGGTCGGGGTCCCGGCCCCGGGCCCTCGGACCCGGTGCGCCGTTATATGTATATAAAAAAACATTGGCAGATGCATGCGCACATGCATTTACATCTATACTAAGAGAGAATGAAACGAGAGAAAGAGAAAGAGAAGGAGATAGAGCGAGACGAGGAGCGACGCCCTGGCAGGCGGGCAGGGCGGGCCTACTGGTGCAACCTCGGCCCTGATGCTGTCGGAACCGATACGTATCCAGCTTGGGCCGACCAGGCCCACGGAGGGGCACACTCGCGGAGGTCCGCGCGGAGTTCCTGGATCGGCGCTGGGCTGGCCTCCCCCCCCCTGGCGCGCGCAGGGAGGCCCGGCGCCGATCCAGGAAGACCGCGCGGAGCTCCCAGAGCGTATGCTCATGGCGCCGTTCGCTTCTGGAGCTGGAGCGCGGAGCTGAGGAGGATAGTGACAATAACGCAGCATGCAGGCGCTCAGAGAGCATTCACGCGGCATTGCAAGGCGCTCAAAGCCATTATGTGAAATAAAAAAACGTCGTTCGATCGAGGCCGGTATAGACAGTAGGCGCGTCTAGCTATCATCGAACATCAGCTCTGCTACCAGCCGCAGCTCGGCGGGAAAGCCAGAACAGCGAAGGGAGGGGCAGCTGAGCTGGCAGCCTGGAGACCTGGAAACCTAGGCCGAGGTATCTCCAAACCTGAGACCCCAGGCCAAGGCAGGGAGGGCTGGCGCCTGGCTTCTCCATTGGAACTTCTGGCACACGTTGGAGCAATGCGTCCATGTCGCTGCATGCACAGGATCAATAACCCCAGGAAGCATTTAAGAAGCCCCCCGGCGATATCGTAGCACCGCATTTTTTATTGGATATTCCGGAGGGCCGAAATAACCGAACGATAGCTGTAGCATCCAGACACGATGATGATGATGATGATGATGATGATGATGATGATGATGATGATGATGATGCTGATGATGATGATGATGATGATGATGATGATGATGATGATGATGATGATGATGATGATGATGATGATGATGATGATGATGATGCGGATATGGATGATGCTGCGGAAGGCTTATCGATTTGCCGGAGGGGGGGGGAGTTCTTAAATGCTTCCTGGGGTTAATCAGTTCGGGTACGCGTCGTCGTCGTCGTCGCCCGAGGTTGTCCCATGGCGAGGAGGGGGGGGGCGGGTTCTTAAATGCTTCCTGGGGTTAATCAGTTCGGGTGCACGTCGTCGTCGTCGTCGCCCGAGGTTGTCCCACGGCGGGCTTTCTTTTCCCTCGGGTGGCCCTGCGCCGCCGCCTCTCGGATAGACGTGAGTTAGGGGCAAACAAACCTACCTCGCTTTTGACCACCCTCGCTTCCAATAGATACCAAGCGATGCCAAACTACGGCATGTACTGGTCAGGCCGCTTGAAGAGGAGGCGTATGGTATGACTTGGTTTTGCCTGGAAGCGAAACCTGGGTAGGTAATTCACGCTCTGAGTGAGAGTGACCCTGGGCAAGTGACCTTTGGTGCGTGGCTTGTGGGAGGGGCGGGAGAGGACAAAACCCAAGCGCGCAGGCCGCTGCCATCGTATCGCGCTCAGGGATCGGGGGGGGGTCCGATGAGCCCGCACCAAAGGGCACTCCTTTGTGGGCCCCGGAAACGGCAGGGCCGTTTTTTCACCGTTTCCAAGAAAATGCCCATTGGAAATGGAAACGGCAAAAAAACGGCGACCAGAAACGGCAACAAAAACGGCTCCAAGATCGGAACTGGAGCCGGACCCAATCAAACAACGGCGACGGAACCGATAAAAAAACGGCGTCGGAACCGGCAAAAAAAACGGCAGAACGGAACCGGTAAAAAAACGGCCGTCTTTTCCAGGGCCCACTGCGGGTCACTCTGGCGAAGGGTCACTCTTACGTGCAGTCGATCAGTTTGGCTCCGGAGAGCTCCGCAAGGGGCGAAACGTCAGCCTGGCACCGGCAGAATGCTTACATCAGAGTGCTGTTTCATCGTCGGGCCTGATTTGAAGGGACCCCAGGACACACAAATAAATACACACAAATAAAAATATCCCCCATATTTTCCCATTTGTTTTTTTGGGGGGGGTTTTGTCTCCCCCCCCACTTCCCATATTTTCCCATATCTTCTGGGGAATCGACGATTAATTGTGTCTGTGTGCTTTTTCCCCTCCCGATGATTGTCTTACTCCGGTCGAGAAGCTTGGCAGACGGCAGCCTGGACTGGTGCGCGCGCCCTCCTGGCCCAGGCCGGGAGGGCCTCGGCACCCGTCCAGGGCCCAGAGCGGAGCGGGCCTCGAAAGAGCCAGGGCAGGCGAGGGCGGCAGGGGCAGCAGCAGCACACAGGAGGATGGGCCCCCGGCCTCGCCGGCCGGCTACCGTCGGGGCGTTGACCTAAGGAGCCCTAAATAAGGAACGAAGCCCCTTCTATCCACAAGTTGAACTTCGACTTCCCATCGAAAGCCGAAGAAGAACCCGAGGCAAACTGTGAAGCAATCAAGGAACACGGCCACCCTCGCCCACCCTGCTCGTCCTCGCCCTCGCCCTCCACCCCGCTCCTGCCCTAGACGAAGAAGCACGTAAACATACGTAAACTGTTGCTCCGCGCGGATTCCTTGGATTTGCGCGTGGGCGCAAATTCACGGGGGGGCGATACATGGGGGGGGGGCCCTTCTCGGGCCCTAGAGGTCCTGTTCTGCGCCCTTCAGGGCCCCTTCAGGGGCCCCGAAGGGCTCCTCTTCGGCAACCCTCGCTGCCACCACATTTATCGCCCATCCATGTATCGCGGTCCAATGCGCTGTACCCCCCTCCCGCCGCAAGCGCCGCCCGGGGGTCCCACCGCAAATCCCAGAAATCCGCGCGGAGAGTCGAAACTTCATAATCGTGCAATTTGTTTGGAGGTCGCTGGGGGGACAGCGTTGATCCCAATGCGCTCGGCTGGCGCGTTTGATCCGCCCATAGCAATCCTTACGAGCCCCATTCGCAAGAAGCTCGGGTCACAGGTTTGCTCTTGCCGACAATTGTGCTGCTTAGTAGTGCTGCTCTTATTCGGTGACGTCCAAAAGGGGGCGTCCACGAAGGGGTGGCGCAAATCATGGCCACCGGCATGTGCGCGGCCGAAGGGGGGCCGGGGACGTAGCGCATCAAGAAGAAACGTCATGAAATCTGGGAAGAGATCATGGCCCCCGCCACGAGATCCCCCCGCCCTGGTCATCGCCCCCCTCTTCGTCGCCCCCGGCGAATCCTACGAGCATTGCTCCCTCCTCTGCCGCCCCACAGAGCACAAATCGCGTTCGCTCTACAGCTGAGGAGGAGGAGGAGGAGGAGGAGGAGGAGGAGGAGGAGGAGGAGGAGGAGGAGGAGGAGGAGGAGGAGGAGGAGGAGGGGGAGGGGGAGCTCTGCGAGCTCCTCAGCAGCTCGTCCCTCTTCGGCCCGCGGCCCGCGGCCCGTCCGCGGCCCGCGCCCGCCTTGGTGGCGAACTGCCGGAACACGCCGCGCAGCTGCCGGAGCTGGCCGTCGCGGTGCTGCCTGCCCACGCTGGGCGCAGCCCTCCGCGCTTGGGGGCGGCAGCGTTGTTCCCCACATCCCGAATGGGGTTTCCGTTGCCTCGGCACGCCCCGCGAAGCAGGAGCAGGAACCCACATCCACATCCCCATCCTCATCCGGGTCCTCATCCTCATCATCACCAACACGCCCTCTCTTCGTCACTCACAGACCCACACACACTTACTTGTACATTCGTACTCACAGTCATTATCATCATCAGCATCCTCATCGCCACCCAATCCCCCCTCACTTACTCACTCACTCACCCACTCATCATCAACACCATCATCACCGAGATCCCTCCCACCCATTCACACTCACACGCACACGCAAACACACACACACACACACACTCACACACACGCACTCACACACACGCACTCACACACTCATACACTCAGATCGTGGAAGCCTCATGGAGAAGCCTCGCTTGCGAAGTGGATTGCGAGGAAATATCAAACGGGAGCCCCCTCCATAAATGGAGCATCGGCTGATCATTACGGCTCCGTGGGGAAGAGAAGTGTAACCCCGTGAGTGCACGCACTACTCGGGCCAAGTGCACTTTTCAGCAGAGTTCGGATCACGTTCGGCTGCCCCGCGGTCACATTACACTGTTGTCTGCTGGGGACGGCGGGGTGGGGGCAGCATATCGCCTGGCCTGCGCGTGCCAACCACCCACGTCAGGAACAAATGCAGATTGCACCTTGCTGCGAACTCCTGCACTGTGCGCTGGCACCCCGCGGTCGCTTTGCACAGCAACAAGCAGATTTTTTCGACGGCAAGCAAAAGCACAGGCAACCAGTGAGCATGCTAGCGCTCCTCAGGGTGTGAGGATGGTTGCCCTTTGCATGTGGCACCGAACAACCCATTGAAACAACCAGCAAAACGGCAAAACGAAACACTTAAATTTGTACCGCGCGGCGGCCAAGGCGAAACACTTAAATTTGCACAGCAACAGGCAGAAATGGTGAGGGTGCCCTGGCGCGCGCGGCGCACCCCGTGGGCGTCGCGCACCTGCAACGCGTCTGCATTGGTTCCCGGTGGCTGTTCATGGCGGTCCCTGCCTACAGTCGGGGCGTTGACCTAAGGAACCTGAAATAAGGAATGAGGCCCTTATTTTCCATAAGTTAAACTTCGACTTCCGATCGAAAACATAAGGCAAACCTGAGGCAAGCTGCGAAACAATTAAGGAACGCGGAGCCCCTCCCCAACCAAAAGGGTTCCTTCTTCAGGGCCCCGACTGTATGCTGAGACTCGTGTGCTGCTTCAGTGGTGTGAGGGCGGCTGGGAGTGAGCGAGACAGCCGTCCTGCGGGGGGATGGCTTGGCTCCCCCTGGATCAGGGGGCGCGAGCCGTTGGGGCATCCAAGATGGCACAAGATGGCTCCAGCATGACTCCAAGTAGCCTACGATGGCGTCCGAGACCGCTTCATATAGCTCAATCTGGCTGAACATAGCCTCCAACATGCCTCCCAAAAACTCCCGGTCCGGCACGATGCCCAGCGACAGAGGGCGTCCAAAACCGACAGAGGCCGCTGTTGGGCAGGCGGCCGTCCGTCTCAAATGGACCGCGCCCGGAACGACGCCGGCAGTGAGTTCGACTGCGTTCAGTCCTCGTGCCGCTCTTTCCGTACCCATGTCAATCGTATTGACTCTTACCGTCCCCCTCCTCCCGCTCCACAGCAGGAGTGCGGATAGGAGACGACACCCCTTCTCGCCGCATCAGCCGCAGGAACTCGAAGTCGTCCAGCGAGCCGCTGCGGTTCCCGTCGTGCTGGCCGGGCGAGCGGGTCGCGCGAGTTAAGGCAAAGGCCTCCTCCTCATCCTTCTAATTGCTGCTTCTTCGCCTCGTCCTGCCTCCCTCCTCTTGCTCTGGCCGACGATGCGCAGAAAGTGCCCATGGGCAAGAGGGGCACGTGATGCGCGGTTCTCGGGGGCCGCGAGGAAGCCGACTCCAAGCGCGCAAGCCAATGCAGGAGAACCCCATGTGGGCCCGCCCGCACCAAAGGGCGCTCTGGTGAACATTCACTCTTACGCGCAGCCGAGCGCAACGCAAGAGGTGCACCCCTCGAGCGCAATCGGGCATCGGCCTGAGCTTCGTGCTCCTTCCACTGCTTCCTCCCTCCTCTTCTCTTCCTCCCCTCCCTCTCCTCGCCTCCCTCTCCTCCCCTCCCTTGCTCCTCCTTACCTTCCTTGCGCTGTAGCGCCAAGATCGCAAAAGCGCGGAGCTGGGATCACTCATCTCTCCTCCGCTTCCCTCCTCCTCCTCCTCCGCCTCCTCCTCCTCCTCCTCCCAACGTGGCGCCAGGTGGCACAGCATGCGGCGGGAGGGGCGCCGAAACTGCAACAGGAGCGGCCCTAAGGGACGGCGCCCTGCGCGCCCATCTTGTTGGATACAGGGTACGTGGCCCAGGCGCAGGAGGGAGGCGAGAGCGACCTCCCTCCCTCCCTCCCTCCCTTTCCCTATCCTCAACTTCCACCCTCCTCTTTCCCCTCTTTCTCCTCTTCATCGCCTAAGCTTGCCTCCACGATGGGCCAAGCTCGGCCATCAAGTCAATTCCATGGCCCCGCAGCCTCACCACGAATCCCGCGAGCTGCAATAATCTCATTGAACAAACTGCAGCTCCTTTTTGGCGGCGAGCGGGGGGGAACTGAGAACGATTAGGCCTTCTCTGAAGGCAAGCAAATCCAGACAACGTGTGGTTTCCAATCGTGTCCGCTTGGCCAGGGGGTCGCCCAGGGGCTTCGTATAACAACTGCTCGGGTTCGCGAGTGACAGTGGGCGAGATCGGCGTCCATGACGTTTCGACCATACCCGTCAGTCGGAAGAAGTGAGTAGAAACATGAAGTAGGAACGCGTTGGAAATAGTTTGGATATCCACCCGCCCCCTGAAGGCGAAGGACAAAGGAAACCCACTCGAGCCTTGAAGTAGGAAGGCACCCAAAAGTAGATTGGAAACTGGGGATCCGAGAGCACCTACTCTGAAACGACCGATGGGTAGTTTCAGGGACACATGTTCGCTCCACGTTTGCCCTTCTTGGTACTTGCCTACCGGCCTCGAGATCAGCGCCTTGGGCCCTGGAGAGCGCCTCCTCGGCTTGAAACTTCGTCGGCACAACCTTCAAGCACATTGCAAGCCTTCCTGGTTGCTGCTCTCTGTCCCTGGCCTTGGATCGGCTGGGCGCCTCGTAAGTCATGCAACTGCTCGCGCTCGTGAGCAGCATTCCCCAGTTGGAAGCTTGCACGCCGAGTGTGATGCGCCCTGGGGGCGATGTTCTGTGTATTCTACTTCGGGTGGATGGCCAGAGGGTGAAATCCAAAATGCGGCATGGCCCAACATATCGGCTCGGACTCGGACTCGGACCTGCGAAGTGCACGCCGGCGGGGGCGCTGCAGGCGGGCGCCGTGGCGCCATGATATGAAAAGTGCGCGGCGGCAATCTCTCTGCGCGATGCAGTTGGGGAGGGAAAAGGACGCACGAAGGGAGAGAGGCACGCACGACAAGCGAGGACGAGAGGCGAGGCCGAGGGAGGGAGGGAAGGAGGGACGAGCGACAAGAGGGACGACAATTCCTTCGCAAGATCGTTGCGGGCAAGATGCGCAGCGGGGCAAACCGAGGCGCTCGGCGCCGACGCCGAGCGGACGCAGCGCCCGCCTGCGCGGAAGGCCAGTCCAGGCTCCGCTCAAGGCCGCCCCCCGTCGCACTCGGCGAGGCTCGGGAAGCGCGACCGACGGCACGCGTCATCCCAAACCGCCCAAGCAAATTCTAGGACGGCGAGGACATCCAGGAGGTTGCGGAGGACATCCGGGAGGCCTGCCTGGAGGAGGAGGCCTGCCTGGAGGAGGCCCGCCGATGGGAGGAAACCCAGGAGGAGCAGGAGGAGCAGGAGCAGGCGATCCAGGAGGAGGACGACCTGGCCCCTGTGGCCCCTGTGTTGGGCGCCCGAGTTATCCGGGGTAACTCGGGTCCGGGGTAACTCGGGTCTGGAATCCCGAAAAAAGAACCCGAGTTAGCCCTGACCCGAGTTACCCCTGATGATTTTGGGGCCCTGGGCGCCCGAGTTATCCGGGGTAACTCGGGTCCGGGGTAACTCGGGTCTGGAATCCCGAAAAACGAACCCGAGTTAGCCCTGACCCGAGTTACCCCTGATGATTCGGGGCTCTGAACACGGGTTCTAGAAGGCGAGATCCAATAACCACCACGTGAGTTATAATCGTAGACGCCAGGTCTCGAATGCAAAACCGAAGCATGCCACATGTAAAAGACGGTCATAAAGCGCTGAGGCAGATTTAAGTACATGCATGAATCAAGACAACCGAAACACTTGTAGATGCCTGGGTTCACGTGTTGTGCGCCAGTTTCGCGTTTGTTCCGGCGGCGGTGCAAGCCCGCGCGTTGAGGCAGCCTCTGCGCATGCCCTGGGAACCCCATGATCATCCGCTGTCGTTGTCGTTATCGGACCAACGGGCTGGGGGGGAGGGGGCGGGCACAAGGCTTCGGAAGTACTGAACGAGATCTCCTCAGTACCACAGCAGTGGAAGCCCAACGCTGCGCGTACGCATGCTGATGCACAGCGTGCGATTCATCCTGCAGGTCTCCAAACGAATAGGCGAATCGGTGTTCGAGGTACAAGCGCCGGCATGGCATACGTATTCCACACCCAGTCCTGCACTCAGGGATCATGGATGGTCATGTCTGGAAGCCCCAAACGAAAACAAAACTGGCCCAGTTGTGGGCCTGGGATGGATGGAACTCGGTCGGGCTCGGGCCCGACAGGGGGATGCTCACGCCTTGGACCGCCTAGAAGCTTTCCGAATGTCAGCTTGTGATTAACGAGTGAGGCTGATGAATAAACCTCGCGTGGCGCGAAACATGTTCTTAAGCACGCGCGCCAGGGCTCGGAGAGCTCGGGGAGCCAGCCCGCCGCGGACGATGGCAAACGGCATGAACGACGAAGCGGCGGATGAGGAAGAGCCTGGAATGTGTGGGGAAGAACACTGAAAGCAATTCTGCACCCTGTGGGTGTCGCCGCGGACGTTAACAGTTCGATGCGACGAGTCCCCCGCCCAGCAGCGGCCGCTGTCGGTGTCGGTCAAAACTTGCTTGTGGACGTCATGCTCACCTTTCCCACGCCCCTTTCGGGCGCGCCGAGCTTCGCTCTGCGCCTGGCTGGCTCGCCTTTTTTGGGAGGCCTGGAAATTGGCACCAACACCAGCACAGGAGGTTGCCTCCACATGGGAAAGATGATCCTAGATTTCGGTGTTGGTGGTAATATTTCGGTTACCTTGGAAGCCAGGATATTACCACCATCACCGAGATCGGGATCTCCTTCCCTCGGTGGAGGAACACCGCCGATCTCGGTGTTGGTGTCAACCTCTAGGCCTGCGATTTTTGGACTCTCTGCGGGGCTCCGCGCTCTGCTCCCGTGCGGGGTGACAGCGAGCGCCATCGGCTGCAGCGGGCCGCTGCACGGCGCTCGCAGCCAGCGCATTCCCGAGGCCGCCGACGCGGCACGGACGGTCGGCGCACGGAGCACCCCGAGCCCGCCGCGGGCGGTGGAAGCGTGCCCTGCGGGAAGCGGGCCCGGCCAGGTCTCTCCTGCTCTCGGGCCCCCGGGCCCTCGGCGGGGCTGGGGGCCCGATGCAGTCCGAACAACGACCGAGTCTTGCCTCCCTCAGTAAAACACGGCTATATGATCGGATAAGTCGCTCCAGAGCGTTCCGTAGCGCTCTCAGAGCGTTCCCGAACGCTCTGAGTCGGCCGCGGCGCCCAATACATCCTCCAAACCCGCCGATTCTCAGAGATTTCGAGTTATCCCGATCCGATTTTGCACCGATCTTCGCGTCGTTTTATCCCGGCGGGAACTCCAGGGTTCTGCGCCCGCTGCCTTCAGGGCCTGCTTCCGTTGCGGCGACGAGAGTTTTGTTGGACTGCGAAACAGGGAAGCAACGCGGCAGTGGCGGCGCCGCAGGTCCCTGCCTCTGCCGCCCTTGCCTCCCGCCCCCCTCTAAAACGACGCGAAGATCAGAACAAAATCGGATCGGGATAACTCGAAATCTCTAAGAATCGGCGAGTTTGGAGGATGTATTGGGCGCCGCGGCCGCTCCAGAGCGTTCCGGAACGGCTCTGAGAGGGCTCCGGATCGCTCTGAGCGATTTATCCGATCCTTAGCCCGGTGTATTACTCTCAAAAAACTCCCCCAATCCTGCTGCTCCCGTCGCCTTCTCTCTGGCGGGCCGGCGCGGCGGCCCAATCAACCGGCGCAGGCGCGATGGTTTCCCTTTTGGGCAGGCGATTCGCCCCGAGCAGGGGAGACCTTCTTCTTAATCACACGAGCCCATAGTTTCTGTGTAATCCGGCCGGCCCCTTGGAGATTCGTCGCGTGTGAAATGCTTTCCCTCCCTAAAACCCCATCTGGGCCCCCGGATCCGCGGGGTCCGGTCGATTTGGAGGGACCAAAAAGGGGGGCCGTCCGGCCAAAGAGGAAAACAAAAATAAAGAAAAAAAAAAAGAAAACACAAAAAAAAAAGAAAAAAAGAGAAAAGGAAAAAAAAAAAAAAAAAAAAAGAAAAAAAAAAACAAAAATACAAAAGAAAAAAAAGAAAAAGAGGAGGGCAAAGAAGAGAAAGAAAATAAAAAACAGAAAAGAAAAAAAAAAAGGAAAAAAACGGGAAAAGAAAAAAAAAAACTGCAGAGAAAAAAAGACAAGAAAGGAAATTAAAAAAAAAAAGCTCACCAGGGGGGTCCAGCCCTTCCCGGGCTCCTTTTGGAGGTCCACGACAGCTCCTGGGGCCGCCAAAGAGGCCCCCAAGACGGTCCAAGAGGGCCCCGAGACGCCGAAAGATCGTTCCAATACGCCCAACTTGGGCCGAAAGATCGTTCCAAGGCGCCTAACATGGGCCGAAGACAGCCCAAGAGGCCGCCAAGACGTTCCAAGAGGCCTCCCAATTCTCAAATTCCCTTGGGAAACGTACATTTCTAGCACATGCGACTTTTCCGCCGTCACAGCGCGGAAGCCCTTCCAAGATGCCTCCAAGACCGGCCCAAGACGGCCCCATAGGCTCCCAAGAAGCCCCCAACACGGCATAAGAGGCGCCCAAACCGTCCCAAAAGGGCTCCAAGACGGCCCCAAGAGGGGCCCGAAAGGGGGACCACGAAACGAACATTCCAGCCGTCCGCCCCCAGAGGCCCCCAGGCGGCCACAAGGGGCTCCAAACAGGCGCACAGACGCCCCCAAAAGGCCCCCAAGAGGCCCCAAGAGGCTCCCCAGGCCTCCAAGAGGGTTGCTTTGAGCAGTCTTGGGGCCCGGGTCGTTTGGGGCCTCATGCACGTCCGTCTTGGACTTCGGTTCGCCTGGAGAAGCCCAGAAACCGAGTGATTAAAACGCGGCCCTAGCCTGGGTTATAATCGGCGGCGAGCGAGGGGGGGAAGTGAGAAGGAGAAGGCCTTCTCAGAAGGCGGCGGGACTTCTCAGAAATCCTCGCACCTTCTGAGAAATTGTCCCTCGCGCTGAGGGAAAGCTACGAACATTTCTCGGAAAGCTTGGGGACCTCCGAGCCTTCTGAGAAGGCCAGCCCCTTCTCACTCCCCCCCTCGCTCGCCGCCGATATAAGTGTGTGGTCTGTAAACCTCCCGGGAGCTCCCTGAGGCCAGAGAGCCGCCAGAACGCCGCGCGGCACGCGCAATACGCAGGGTTTACCCTGTCAGCCCACAGGAGGCTCAGCGCACATCGCCTCGTGAACCAGTGGAGGGGCGTTTTTAACGTCTTTGAAGAAAGGTCAAATTTTGAACGCGTAGCGTCTGGAATCGCGACCCGAGCCACCGACATCGCCTGTACTCCTCGACTTCGCGAGGGGATCACCGAGTGAGGGCCCCCGGGCCCGAAATGGGGCAGCAAGGTTCGCAACGCATAATTAGTCTTACGACGAAGCCGGATGCCAAGTAAGACGAAACCAGGACGAAGATACATCTGGGAAAAGACAAACCGAGCATCTCTGAATTCTGGCTGGCTCTGGAGGATGTCTCCGGCGCGGCGGCCTTCTCAGAGCGTTCTGGAAAGCTCTGGAACGGATTTATCCTCGTCCTGGTCCCGCCCGACCGAGGTCGCCCCGAAAATCTCCGCAACGCCCTGAAGGTAGTCCGAGAGCAGCCGCGACAGGTCGAAAACGATCGGACGATCGTGCTTCCAGCGATGATTACAGTGGGGGCTCGGCCACAAGAAACCTCCGCAAGAAACCCAACCCTGAAATACGCGATTTGTTCAGTGAAAGTCCACATGTGTCGATCGAAAATCGTCAAGATCTGATTGGGAGCCCATCAGAATCCAAGAATCCCAGGGCACCCTGGCAAAATCCAACTGGTTTCTTGGCACGCGCCCCCACTGTGCCCCCCCGAGGAAGGCCTCCTCGGGGAGCACTGGCACACTCTCTGGGCCTGCCGGCCGCGGTGTGCACAGGGCCGCTCGGCGCACGCGGGGCCACCCCGGGGCGCCCGGAGCGGGTGGCCCCGGCCTCGACCACCAACGCAGTAAGCTCCGAGCTGGCCACCTGCGGGACGGGCGGAGGGGGCGCGGGCCGGAGGGGGAGGAGGAGGAGGAGGAGGAGGAGGAGGAGGAGGAGGAGGAGGAGGAGGAGGAAAAAAAAAAAAAAAGGACATCTGGACTGGGAGGGAGGTGACTGATGGGGGGAGGAAGGAGGGGGCGGAGGATTGGGGGAGGAGGAAGGGGATGGAACGGCTGAAGGGAGGAGGGAGGAGGAGGAGGAGGGAGGAGGGGGGGAGGAGGAGGTGGATGAGGAGGAAGTATGAGGAGGGAGGAGGAGGGAGGAGGAGGAAAAGGGGAGGAGGCGGGTGAGTGGGACGGTAGGAGGAGGAGGAAAGGAGGAGGAGAAGGAGGAGGAGGAGGAGGAAGAGCAGGAGGAGGAGGAGGAGGAGGGGGCGCGGGCCGGATCCGTCGCCATCGAGTCGGGGAAGCGGATCGGACCTGCGTCGGGTCGGACCGCGTCGACGCACGGAGCCGAGCGCCGAACCCGATCGGCGGCGCGCGGATGCGCGGCCACGCCGTGCAGGCACCTGGCCGCATCGCATCGCCAGGACCTCAGCAGCGAATCGGATCGAGCCGGGTGCACTCGGTATCGAATCGGACCCGTCGGGTCGAAGTGGCCCCTGGCGCGTGCGCGTGGGAGCCTGGAGCTCTGCGCAGGGAGCCTTGGCGCCCACCGAAGCCTGTCGTTGCGACGCAGACGGTGTGGTGAGGGCCGCCGCAGGCTGCGTGCCATCCGTAGAGCTGGACGGCAAGAGCACCTTGGGCTGGCACACGCCCGGAGGAGCACCGACACGACCCGGAGCCTGGAGCCGCGCGCACGAACGGGCGACTGTGGGGGGCGGCGACGCTCCCCCCTGAGCCCGTCGGCGACTCCGAAGGGTGTGGTCAGCAAACGGTGTGGTTCGCAATCGGCACCCCCGGGGAGCGGGCGAGGACCTCGACATGGCCCTCCGCCCCGGCTCGAGGAGGCCCGACGAGGGCAACGCTGTGCCCTCCTGGCTCCTGACCCCAACGGCGCCGATCGCAAACCACACCCCGGCGTAACCACACCCTTTGTAGTCGCCAAGTCTGTCCCCCCCCATCGTTGCCCTACCGTCGGGGGTTGCTAAAGGTGCCCCTGACCCAAGGTGCCCCCGAAGCTCAATTCTGGAGCCCTTGGGGGGCCCCCTGGGCCTTGTGAGGGATGCTCTGGAGGCCGTGGGGGCCTCCTCGGAGATCCTGGGAGCACCTTAGGTCAGGGGCACTTCTCGCACAACCCGCTGCCGGTGCTGGGATTCCAACGTTCCGCCGACCAACAGAATATTGCTCGTCAGCCCCGAAAGGCGCGCTCTCCCCTCGGCACTTGCTCCAGTAGAGGCCTCCTAGATGGGGTCGGAGTAGGTTGGGTCGGAGGATCGCGCAGCATCGCCGATACATCGGCGATGCATCGCCGACGCATCGGCGATACATCGGCGATGCACCAGCGAAGCACCGGCGATGCATCGGCGACGTCGACGTGAAGGAAATCGGGCTGCACATCGAGCAGCATTGGCGATGCATCGGCGATGGGGCGCGATCCTCCGACCCCATCTACTCCGACGCCATCTAGGAAGTCTAGATCCAGGCCCCCCAGAGTGAGTGCTGCACTCCCCCCCTTCTCTTTTGGCAGCAGGCGGTGCAGGGACTATTGGCGCCGGGGCCTCGGCCTCGGATCTGCCCCCATGTTCAGAGCGGACCCCTCCCCCATGATCTTCATCTTCTTCTTTTTCTTTTTACTATCATTATTATGTTTCTGTTTATTTTTCTCCTCCTCCTCCTCCTCATCCTCCTCCTCTTCCTCCTCCCCCTCTCCCTCCTCCTCCTCCTCCTCCTCCTCCTCCTCCTCCTCATCATCATCCTCCTCCTCCTCCTCCTCCTCCTCCTCCTCTTCCTCCTCCTCCCCCTCCTGTGCCCCGTGGGCCTGTCCCCACTAATCGCCTCCTGCCCCGCAAGAGAAGACCCTCCACTGCCTGGGGCTGTGGCGGAAGTCGACCCCTCGAGGCCCTGCCGACGAGGGCGGCAGCTTCGGCCTCTCAGCATTCTCGGGTGCGCCGAACTGGGGGCCTGGGACTGTTGGAAGCGGGGCGCATCTCGGGGACACCACCGCCAGCACGCCTGTGTTGAAGTTGAGCTGCTTGCCCGCCTCCCACAAAATGTACAAGCTAACCCTCCCGAACGCCTTGGCCAGGTCCAGGATTGCCGTGATCGTGGCCTCCGTCAGCTCGTCCTTTACGACTGGGTTATCCATCTCGTGGCTGAGTACGTCCCACGCCGCATCCTTTGCCGCCTTGCCAAACCTTGTGCAATCCCACGACCTCAGATTGTCTTTGGCCCTTTGTGTCATGCGCGGCCCCCTCAGAATCTCCCACACCCAGATCGTGGTAGGCAATCAACCAATGACCCTGTCGGTGGTGAGAATCTTCGGGATCATGAGGAAGAGGACCGTGCCCATGTGGATAAGCCAGACCAACGTCTTCTCGACCTCACGCAGGATGTCAAGCAAGCTGCCGCACGCCCCGTCCGAGGTTCCCTGTAGCAGCTCTGGGTGCCACCTGTCGACGCCAATCTCCTTTTTTCTTCCGAAGGTTATGGCGGTACTCTTGAGCTTCGCCACGTCGTCCTCCGTGAATCCGCTGAGCTGGTCCCGCTGCTCGACCTCCCAAGGCTCCGGCTGCTCCTGCATCGGGTCTCTGGTCCTTCCACGCCTGCGTCCACTCGTTGAGCGTGAACTCCGCCGCTGCTAGTGGATCTTCAGAGCTTGCCACGCCTTTCGCGCGCCGCGGCGCCAAACCTGCGCCAGTTGGCTGAGCTCGTGTCAGCCACCTGCCGCCCCCGCTGCTGCGCCCTCCAGCACGTCGGCCCACTTCGCGCGCCTCTTCTTGTTCAGCTGCTGGTCGTACTCCTTCGATTTGTTCGCCGCCTCGGCGCGCAGTTCCTGACGCCTCTCACGCTGCGCCCTGCCCCCCCAACGCCCCGTTGCCAGCAACCCGCAACGCGCCTGCCAGATGCGGCGCCCCCCCCGCGCCGAGATGCCTCATGCGCGCCTCCTTGATCCTGAATTGCTTCCCTTGGGCCTTCGCCTCGTGCACGCGCTCCCCCCGCTGCTCCGTCGTCGCGTTGGGCCCCCGGCACGCGCGCTGTAAATTGCGCGGCGATCTTGCCAACCGTCTCCACCGCGAGGCTTGCCTCGCTGGGTTCGGTAAGGCGTCGCCCCCCCAAATCAAAAGGCTCGATTCCCCGCGCTGGCTCTTCCGCCCGCCCCGCATGCGGATCGTTCTCGCCCCGGCATTTACCCCTGATCGCGAGGGCCTCCTTCTCGAACTTGAGCGTGTACTCCGTCCGCGTTCGGTTCGCGATCTCCCGCGCGTCGAACTTGGGGATCGCGCTGGAGGTCGGTGGCGCTGGCGCGCACCCTATCTTGAGCTCGGGCAACATCATCAGCTTCTCCAAGACTCTGACCCTGCGCTCCTGCCCCTTCAGCTTGATGGCGATGCCCACTGGCTTGTGCAACGCTGACGGCCACTCCTCCTGGACTCGCCCGCCCGCCACCCGCGCCATGACTGGGCCGGACACGATGAAATAGTCAATTTAGCTATTCCCGCGCGCGTGCCTGCAGGCGCCGCACTCCGTCTGCGGCGAAACAACACGCGCCCCCGCCAGCTTGATGCACTCTACGTCCGCTATCACCTCTGGCTTGACCTGAAAGTCGCCACTTACGACCCACGGCGTCCCCAACACCTGCAACTTGTCTATCACGTGCGCCAGCAACTCCCTGTTCCGACACGACGCACCCTCAGCCGTCCACAGGTGTCATGACGTGATGACCTATCCTTTGCCTGCCGATACCCACGCTTCTGCTGCGCGGCCTGGGTCTCCCTTCGGCAATGCGCCCCCAATGTCCTGGCCGCGCAAGTAGGTCACGCCGGCACCGCCGCCGCAACTCCAGCAGACGAGCCCGCCTCGCCTGTTGGCCCCGTGGCAGGCGCAGCTGCGGCGCCACCCAATTGGCAACCCTGCGCCTTCATGCTCTGCGTGGCCACGGGCCACTTGTCATTGGTGAGGTGATGCCCCTGCACTGCGTAGAGCAGCAAGCGACCCTCCGCCTCCTCACCCAGCTTCTCCTCGGTCGTGCCCCAGCCCGAGCCGCTGAAGGTACAGACCGTGAGCTGCTCGAACTTGTTATTCTTCTTATTACCCTGTGCGGCGCCAGCGTGGTTGGGAACGCCGCGGCCGCTTGGCTGCTGAGTCGGCAAGGCTGGCGCAGATCTCCAGCCGCCGCTTACCTGTAGCTTCGTCGGCGTCAGAAGGTACTCCTCCTGCCTTGAGCCGCTCTTGTTCCGCTGCTGAAAGTTGAGGCCCGTCGTCAGCTGCGGCTGCTCCGCCAGCTCCGCCGCCCCCGTCTGCGCCAGGAGGTGGTCCAGGACCAGGGGGGGCAGCCATCTGCACCTCCTCCTTAGCCTTGGCCATGACTCATGACCTTGCCCAGCGCCGCGAAGAGCTGCTCGTAGTCGGTGGCGGTGGCCCCGCTGCCATCGACTGCCTTCTCGCAATGCTTCTGC